AGATGAGAGGAGAAGTACTTACTCCTTTCTATTGTGTGCTGGTAACAATACAGTCTTCACACCAGCACGGAGAGCCCCAATGAGCTTCTCCTTGATACCTCCTACGGCAGTAACACGTCCACGTAACGAGATCTCACCCTATAGAAAATATTAGTGCCCGTGAACATACGAGTATTGCATACTGAGACTTACCGTCATTGCCATAGTTGGGGGCACAGCTTTGCCGGAAAACAACGAAATCAGTGCAATAGTGTGTGCCATACCGGCAGATGGGCCATCCTGGTCAATTCATTAGCGGATTATAACACAGCATCATGGAAAGCCAACCTTTGGGATAGCCCCTGAAGGACAGTGCACATGAATACTCCTCTTCTTCATGATGTTCTCCGATGGGTCATGCGTCAGACCTAACTCGTACGCATGAGCTTTCACCCAGCTCAGTGCTACCTCGACACTCTCTTTTAGTACATCGCCCAGTTTCCCTGTTAGCTGCACGCTACCGCTCCCTGGCATATCGGCCACTTCGATGAAAAGAATACTGCCGTTCCCACCAGAACTATAGGCCACGAGACCCGTAACTATCCCTGGACGGCTATTCTTGTAGTTAGTATTTACATACTTAAACAAGCTTAAGCAAGGTAGTCTCAATTGAGGACTAGAAATAGTGGATGGCAGGCGAACCTTGTCTTTTCGGCAATTTCTTCATCAAATTTCTCAATACCCAATATTTCCTCGATATCTTCCACTGACAGCTTTGGTTTGTAATTTTCTGTAGAACTGGTCAGTATTCGCTGGCTAAGGATCATGCGGAAAGAGCCTCTACCCGTATGTCCCGAGTCCTTCGCCTCCGCATATTCTACCGCCTTGGCACGACATACGGATCCAATCTCTCGCTCAAGGTTACGAACACTAGGAGTTTAGGTGGTCAGTGAAGTTACTACAATGAGTTTTGACAGTGGCAAGATTAACTAGTAATGTCGGGTAGGGATGATTCGGTCTATAGGAAAGAGGAGTTTAGGGCCATCAATGCTTACCCTGATTCGCGAGTGTAGGATTCGATGATCTTGGACACAACATCTGGGGGGAACTCGACTTGTCCATCTCCGAGCCCATCTACACAGCGTCAGTGGTCGAATACAATATTCTCAGCTGATTGTGAAGGCTTACTAGTGCGAATCTGCTTTGGGATTAGATGCTGCGAGGCGATATGTCTTTTCTCAAGTGTCGTGTATCCTGACAAGCTTATAGTTTCCATACGATCAAGTAATGGTGGCGGGATGGTATCTAAACTGTTCGCGGTGGCAATGAAAAGAACTTTGCTAAGATCGATTGGTATGTTGACATAGTGATCCGTGAATGTATGATTTTGTTCTGGGTCTAGAACCTCAAGCATGGCAGCCGAGGGGTCCCCATGAAAGTTAGAAGTGCTGCAAAGGAGTCAGCTACAGGAATGCCTACAGACAACAACGTTACTTACCCAACCTTGTCAATCTCATCAAGCAGGAAGACAGGATTTGCCACACCGACCTTTTTCAGGCCGTTCACTATCAAGCCGGGCATTGCTGCCACGTATGTTCTGCGGTGGCCTCGAATTTCCGCCTCGTCTCTGACGCCGCCGAGAGAAATCCGATGGAATTTTCGTCCCAACGCAGTAGCAATTGATTTTGCTAGACTAGTCTTGCCCACACCAGGAGGGCCGACAAGGAGCAGAATGGGCGATTTGTCAATTGTCCTCTTGCTTTTGAGAATTTCGACCTTGGCAGTTGAATTCTCTTCGTCTGCTTTGGCAAGTTGTGAATTGATCTCATCATTAATACTTTGTTTGAGTTTGAGAACCGCCAAATACTCAAGTAATCTCTTCTTGACCTTTTCCAGCCCATAATGATCATCATTGAGTTGTTTACGGGCCCTCGATAATGTATCGACGCCAAGTTTATCTTCAGTCATCTCAGACCACGGTATCTCAATCAAGTTCTCCAGATAATTTCGACAGACTTGATACTCTGCCTGAGCTGGTGCCATTTTCTTCAATCTCTTCAGTTCCCGGTCAGCGACTTTGGCTGCTTCAGGGGTCATATTTGCGCTATCGATCTTCTTCTTAAGCTCCTCCATTTCGTCCGGTTCTTGATCATCATCCTGAGATCCACCATTACCTGCCGTACTGGGAGGCAGTGGCGCGCCCGACATTGCTGGTCTACGCATACGATGTCCATTTACTTTATTAAATTGCTCGATGTCTATGTTTGCGGGGATGTTGGAGGTTGTGATTGTTGTTATTTTGACGTTATTTTTGATAGTGCTGACTTGACGTTGAAGTAAGAGAATTGCTCGTTCAAGGCGATCCTTGGTTGAGAGCGCGGCTAATACTTGTAACTTTTCCTCCAACGATGCCTCGACCACATTTGCCATGAAATCTGCCAGAGTTCCGGCCTCTGATACATCCTTCTTCGCTATGTATACCTCGAGGCGGCGGGCGAGTACCGGGGATAGCCCAGCAGATGTGCGAGGTAGGAGAGATGAAAGTCGCAAAAGGGTCAAAAGTTCTCGTGATAGTTGTTTAAGATGTGCGAAAAGCCCTTGAACGGCTACATCTTCAGTAGGCACATCTGCAAAGTTTAGTAATTGTCATGTATCGATAAGCACGATTTTCCTTACCTTCATCATATAGATATGTAACCTCTCCTTCAAGGAATGGCTTCTCTTGTGTTATGCTTTCCACCTTGATCCTGGCTACACCCTCAACCAACAAGGCGAATTCTCCGGAACGACCAGTTGTGCCTTCAACCCCCGATATTTTAGCAGCCACTCCATACCCAAAAAGATCATCCTTCGTAGCTCTCGATGGCTTGATATCTAATCGTTCTCTGGGTTGCGGAGTTTGCTCATCTCCAGTAATCATCTTCTGTCCACCTTGAGTGAGGAATGGCGAGTTCAAAGGAACGCAGGCGATATTGACATTATCCAATCGCTGACTCGGTGTAGTTGAGGCAGCTCTGCTGTAAACTCCTGAGAGCAAAGCTGGGATATCTGTTCGTTGGCCAGATACTGGAATGCGAAGGACTATCCCAGGGAGTAGAACGGTTCCTTTTGCCAATGGAATAATGGGTAAATTTGCGGTCTTCACGGGACCCATATTGATGTTGCAGACAGCGTGTTGATGATAAATGTGTGTATTCTGGTAAATTTGATCAAAGTTTAAAGGTTAACTTATATGTAATGGTATATAATCGATGGCTTTGTGGCAAGAATGCTTCATCCATAATGCGAGCATCAGTAGAGATAAGGAGCCGAGGTTCGTCATGGCGTACGGGAGTGGATGGGATGGTGTAAAAACGGCGGGACCACCTGGTGGACTCAATTCCTTTTCCGTTCGCTGTGTTTTTATTCCCCCCCCACCAACAACAACAACAACACCATACATGTAATGTCTTAGAAAACACATGAATCTTCTAGAGACTTCACCGATATTACATATCTCCTGATTAGTGCGGGTTCGCTTTGAATAATTAATACATTCCAATATCCATCACCTGGGTATTCGACTGTCTTCGAAGTGCTATTCATATTTGGACTTCTCGCATCGTCGATCGATTTGTACCAGTTATGTAGTTGTATGAGCATGTTGGCTACCTCGATGCTACCTTGTATGCCATTCATTATTGGAAAGCTTTCAAGTTTCCTAGGTATATACTAGGTGTATTCATGTTCATCTTTCACACGCAAGAATTCAAGAAGATTGCTTCATTCCTTTCCTTTCCTAACCTCACTTGGTGACAAGCTTAAGCCATTTTGGTTGAGTAGCAATATGATCTATACACAGGAGTACATCAGGAATGCTCTGTGCAACAATGGCGTATGGTCGATACCTAGCCATACACTGTAGCGATGTTTTGGTCAAGCCGCGAACTATAACGCATACACATCCTTGGACGATTTACCTTATGAGTCTGGTATTCGTCCTTCAATATACTGCCCATTAGAAATCTTGAGATACGGTTCCTACAAATACGATAGCCAACCTTTATTCGTCAATCGCCAACCTGAGTATTAGTGGGCTCGCCTCCGACTGGGTCCCATGTCTTTTCTTCTGCATTGCGGCCGTCTACCTTTTCTTGGTAATTTAGATTATCTGAGTGGGAATACCGAACCATTCATGAATCTACTTACCACGCCTGAATCTACGTAGCAAAAGCTCGATTTTGGGGGGCTTGAGGCTTGAGCAGGAAGATTAAGATGGGCATAGGAAACGCCTCACGAGGTTGATATCGATATGATCGAAGTGGGTGTAGGTTTGTAGCAACATGTAATAGCAATCTACACTTTGCCTCGATACCCCGTCACCACCCTTTGTCCTATTTTGACAGTCTGGGTGAGTATCAGACCACTCCCGGTCGTCTAACATCTATGAACAGCAAATAGATTGTTAAAGGAGTTCCGGTTGAAATCAATCCAGGCAAAGACTCAAGCCGAAACACGGATATTCAACGTGAAGCCGACACGGGTTTGACAGAGGGTTGGTCAAATGAAAGAACTGAGAGAGGTCTAATTCTCTTGCAGTGCTTTACATGCAACTAATACGCATAAATATTGTGATTTATGACGATGTTATTACGCAGTTCTCAGTAAGATATCAGACTTTCGCAGGAGAATTCTTACTTCACTCGCATATTAGGATGAGAATACCGAATCTCGAAAGAAATCTTCAGATTGATGCTACTACAAAGTTTCGGGGTCAAATCCTCGGGTGTCAATTCACTAAGCTTTCAGAAAATTGAATTCCAGAATCTTGGATGATTGATATTGCTCAAGTTGGGACTCAAATTGGTCACTTCTCCATATACACCCCTCATTGCAATTCAACCATACAGATATACCACTTTAGTGTGCTGAAACTGCAACAGCCACATCCTGAGCACACTCTCGGCTGGGCTTCATTCAATATTTGCTTCCATGGTACGCCACAAAACAGCACATATCTGTAGTCGTGCTAAAATTCAAAGAGCAACTGTCCAGGTTTCGGATATCTTCAAACGGTATGACGAAATAAACATTCGCGAGACTCTCTGATGACTCTAGAAGCACATCGGTTCTGGGTTCGGTTGTGAATTACCCTTCAAAGTTCATAGGCACCTTTCTAGAAGAAACGACTTGTTCTTTCTCGAAGTATATGATAAAAATAGACGTCAATAATCAGCAGTACATAAGCTCGTGCAAGGAATTGGAATGTGTTCTCTCCAGCAGACAGGGGGGTTTGATGATTGACAGTACAGCACAGTAAGCTCGGGAATCACTACAGTAGCCGATCCTCCTTCATCGCAAATGCAGGTACCAATGGATCACAGCAACCACATCAACAAGATATAATAAAAATCTCTAACAATCATTTGAGATTGAGATAATTGAGACGAGATTTTCTTAGAAAAGTTTCAAGAATCTTGATTTAGCAATTGGTATATCAGGTTTTAATTCCATTCAACCCATTCTTTAAGTTCCTATGTTCCAGCTGCTGCTACACCAATAGTCAAAAGTGGCGAAGCTAAACTTTCCAATTAAGAGTCTTTGGTTACATCTCACAAATCCCACAGCCTCTTTGAGAAATCATATACGGTTCTTTACAAATGATTAAATTTGTCCAGTGGTCGCATCCTTCGCTCGCGATCCAATTGGGTTTATACGTGTTCAGAGAAATAAGTGTTTGATAATGTAGAAATAGATCTTGTCGTGGGATTCTGGCCCCCGGAGATATTCTTATTCTTCTCATCTGAGTTGCGCCGTAATCAAATGGATTGAAGTACTCATTAAAGCTTGCGTCTTTTCATTTAAGATCTTTCATACCCTCTGTCATGTACTTTTAAACCCTTTTCGACCTTTCTTGTTACTTCTTTTCTCTGTCGTTCATTTTATCAAGCTCTCTCGACCGTTACGTCGTGGAGTCTATAATTTCTTTCTTTGTCATGTCTCCCCTGATAATAATTTTGTTTTCTGCTTTGTTCGGAGTTACGAATGCTATACCATGGGCCGCAGCTAAACAGACAGCTACGTATAAGGGGGATGAATGGTCCCCACGACCGACGAACAGGATCATAGAGTCTCGTGACCTGTTTAGAAGAGGCTCATTCGATGTTGATATATGTGGCTGGATTGGAGGAAATAAAGCTCAATCAGTGGGCTGTCGAAGTGGATCTTCATGTATTCATGATACTTCGTATGGAGTTATCGGATGCTGTCCAACCTCGTCAGCTGGATCGGATCCGGTTCCTTGCACGGATGGATTATATACCTCTTGTATCGATCATAATAGTGCTGGATATGCTTCGAATTCTTTCATGGTTAATAATGGTATTTTATCATGGTTAGTGGAAATGTGCGAGATATGAAATAAGTTGCCTAACAGATTCTCAGCCCTTCGAATTCAAACTGTTACAAAGTTAACTACCCAGAAAACTACTCACAATTTGGATGTGGCCCTTCCACTGGAAACATCACAGCAGTGACAACCTTTGCTGGTCAAGCGACAGATGATAACCTGCAGATTGTATATACTGGAGTGACTTTCAACCCAACAATCATAATTCAAAATCCTAGTTATTTTGGAGCAGCCACTTCATTTCCATCTTCAACGTCTGCAACTCCAGCACAGTTCACAGCTTCGGCTACTGCTGGGAAGGGGTCATTGACACCTTCAATCCCAGAATCAACAAGTTCGACAGCTGCAGCATCGAAGGGAAGCTCAAATACTGGGGCGATAGTCGGCGGAACGATTGGTGCTCTGATTGTAATCATAGGAGCATCTATAGCAGCATTCTTTCTCATTCGTAAGAAAAGAAACAAACGAGAGTCAATCGTTCCTCGTGGTGCCATGTCTCCGTGAGTGTTTAGTAAATCTTGTACTACTCAAAGAAACTGACCCTTTCCAGTCCGCGGCTATCAAAACCAACATTTGAAGCAGTTCCTAACCCAACGCCATCTCTACAGCCAATTCACTCTCCAATTTCATTCGGAAATCATTCCCCACCACCTCAAGATCATTACTCTCAGGTGAGCGGCATCAAAAACCTAGGCTATGCACCTGTACCTGTCTTTCAATCTCCTCATCATCGACCCACCACGCCTGCCGGACATGATGCACCCGTGGAAGCACCAACTCCTGATCTTTACGCCCGTAACTTTCGCTCTTCGTCTCCTATACCAGATCGAGATCCATTCCAACCATCACATTCCGAAATACTTCCTGAATCTTACGACACGACTCGAACACGTGGTCCACCCTCCTCAGAGCCTTATCACCCATCGCAATCACCTGAACCTCAGCATTACTACCGATCTCAATCTCCTGAGCCTCAACTGTATTATCACTCCTCCTCCCCCGAACCACAAGCTCTCCGTCCCCGTCCTTCTCGCTCCCCACCACCTGTAAGCACATCTCCAGCCTCAGCCCCAGCTCCAACCACAAACTCGTACAGCCTCCCACCAACCGCCGACCTCCCACCCCTCGATATTATGGAAGACATCCAAACCCCCATCGCCCCCAAAGCCTCTCAAGCAAATTGGCATCTCGCTCTCACCGGAGATCGACGCACCTACGCCCCCACCGACGGCCCCTCCACCTCCGCCGACCACCAACACGAACCCATGCCTGCCATGCCTGCCCTCTACGCCGACATCACAAGCGCCATGGGCGTCGAATCCATGTCACCCCCCGCCGACTCCTTTCTCACACGACAAATCTCCGATCCCAAAAACCCTGGCACCCGTCGCAATTTCTCGCGCAAAGGCCGCGCTGACAAAGAAGGCGTCGAAGATCAAAACAATAATCACGAAAACCAAAACCAAAACCAAAACGAACAAACGGAAGAAGAAGAAGAAGCAGCACACAGCAACAACATCCGGCAATCCGGTTGGACACCCTCCGGTCTCCGCACACGAAATAGTCCCTCTCCGCACTCCGCCCCCAGAATGCCCGATCGCAGGACTCCCGCCCCTATCGGAAGCCACCCCGAGGTCTCCGCGCAGAGATACCCAATGTCTGATCCTCGAGACGAGCAAGTGCGTATTGCGTATACCCCGCATGCGCATGCGGGTGTGAATATAGGAGGACATGGTGGGCCTCCGAGAGGAATGGGGATTGCGAGGAAACCGACTCCGGTTGTTGATCCGAATGCTGTGGAGGGGGGGTGGTTGTGATTCTTTTTGCCGGGGGGGGGGGGGGAATGGGGTAGAGAGGAAGGGGGGAGGAAGGGGGGAGGAAGGGAAGAAGCAATGGATTAATATGAGGAATTTCTTTAATGTATATATGGAGATAGTATACCAGATTCTGACTCATCGCAGATTAGTTGGGTAGGTGAATAGCGAGGCTTGCATGTATGGCATGGGTGGGGATGGGAGCGAGCGGCGAACAACAAACATCCATTTGTATATAAGTTATACAAACTCTCATTTGTTCTCTATTAGCACTTGTGCAATAAACAACTGTGATCAGAATCACCGGGTAAAATAAGTGTCGCAACAAGAAAACATCATCTCAAAAAGTCAATATCGATACAAGTACAATATTACAATATTACAAAGAGCCATGAATCTCGATAGATCTTGCGTCCTACATCTCTACCTATGCTCTATCTAATTCGCTTGCCACTCTTGTTTTCTCAACCTGTGAATCTTTGCTCGCCCAAAATGAGCTTAATGGCGCTTACATCGAATCTGCTCCTATTGCTTTACAATGATTACATACTACAGATGACAAATAAATCCATCAGCATCCGAACTTCTAAACCGTAGAAGGAGCCTCAATACCTAAATCATATTCATGATTCTATTGAAACACAGTCAGTATAGAGACATACTCCTATTGAGAAGAGCTGATCGGGAGTCGCTATTTCACCCCTTCTTCACACACACAGTTCAGAACCAAGACACAAGACACAGTCAAACTCACTGAAAAGACCCAGTCACCGTCACAATCACAAGAATTAAAGATCGTAGTATTCTTAATCCCCTGCTGCCACTAATCAGATACAAATAGCCGACCCCAAGCAGCTGAGCTCACACTATCGTACATACACAACACAAGACAGGAATCTTATCATCCACGCTAGAAAGGTTGTTATCACAAGTTGTTTCCCAATGAACTCCACAACAAGCACACATTTCATCCATAAATCTAGCCAACCATCATCCAAATCGATTCGAAATTCCCTTCCATAACCATTTTCATTCCCACGCAACTAAGACGAGATTTCCGAAATTCAAGATGACAAAACGACAAGACACAGTCCCATTTTATTAAACTCCAGAACAAAATTCGAACTCATTTCATTAAATTGTCTCGTCAAAAGTGGCATCTTCCATAGATTTCGTCAAATAAAAAAACTCAGGACCATAAAGACCAACATGTCAATTTTTAATTACATACCCCCTTCTGGACTCAAGGGTTTCTGCGGCTGAAGGTACGCGGTAGGAACTTTGGGTACTCGTGGCGACCGAGGAGGTTGTGAGATGCCTCTTCTTTCTGCTTTTAGGCTTTCTCGAAAACGTTCATTATCTCGTGATCTGCCGCCAGTGAGTCGCCGCATACCTAATCGAGTACCGGCTGCGAGGGGCTTGATCATATTCTCGAGAAAAAAAGAGCCTTCTCCTGAAGTTGTTGCACGGTCCTCTTCACCATCCGAGAAAACATCCTCACTGAAGTCGTCGTCTGACATGTATGTTATATTGGGATGACCCGATGACGTTGAAGGTGATGTCAAAGCACGCGCGTGTAAGCTGGGTCTAGAGGTAGGGACGAGATTGAAAGCAGCCGGAGTCATGGCATTATTTGATTCCCGTGATGGACGTAAATCCGCAAAGCCATTCTGAAAGGTAGAATTGGTTGCTGAATGAGTGAGAGACTGATGAAGAATAGGTAGAGTTTGTTCGTCATATAATTGAGCCGCAGCGGAATCGAAGTTTTCGCCCGAAAATCCAACTTCTGTAATGGTTCTTGATGACCTGCCATCGCTCGTGGGACTCTGCAGGCTATCTTCAAAGAAGTCGTCCAAGCTGTCCAGCTTCATCATAAGGTCACCAATATTGCCATCGCCTCGAGCCTCATCCGACATCATAGTCTCAGTTCTCTCAGGTTGCGGGAAATAACCGTATTGGAAGTCATCCACATGAAACTCTACATCTGGGGTCGGGGCAACTTCATGATCCGTAGTCTTAGTACTCTGGCACATGTAAAACACAGCATGGACATTAGATCTTGTAATACTAGCTTGCTTCGCAGGCATCGGAATTGACCATCCGGAGTCCTCTGGGATACCAAAGAAACTCTGAGTGTTATCATATTCTTTCCTCATCGCCCTTGAAGAGGACCTCGTCATACTCATACGTAAATGGTGCTTGTCCATCGGAGTTCCAGTCATGGTCATGATCTTGTCTAGTACTTCTAGAGCTTCCATACAAAACTCTGTTTGAAGTAGTCTTAAGAGAGGCGATATAAGATCAGGCCCATGAGAAGCAATCTCCGGCTTTTTCATGTCGATGTCAGGAATGATAGCACATAAAATGCGCATTGTCTTTAACTTATACCATGGTGTACTGTTAGTTAGAGAGCCCATGACGAATGTCAAACTACGGAATTCCCATTTCGGGAAGAATGACTCGCGAAGAGCAGAAACCAGTTGCGCCAGGAAATCTTTGCTAGAACGGTAACGCGATCCAGCGAACCCAATGAGAGCCCGTGAGATAGTGCTGCATCCTTGTGTTTCTGCAACACCCGCGAGTATTTCAGCAGTTTGTATGCTCTTCTGGTCAATATTTGGCTGATCCATAGCATTTAGAAAGCCAGGGAAGTTAGCCAACACTGCAAACAACAATCGACTGTCATCTCCGATAAGCTCATCACTCGGTAATGTAATGAGCTTGTTGATAGTTGCCAGTGTCATGTCAAGACAGGCCGATGAGCGAATACCCTTGTAAACCAAAGCTTGAACTCCTCCAAAGGAACCTTCCCAGTTGGTAGGTCGTCCCTCAGCAAGTAAATCTCTAACCAAGGGGTCATCCAAGTCAAGTTTCGCAAGTAGTTCCTCGAGCATGTGACCAGCTTCTAAAAATTCTTGTTCATTTGTCGTATCTAGACAGGCACATGTTGTCCAAAAGAGTTGAGGGAAAGTGAGTAAGTCAGCAGGGTCGAGTTTACGGATGAGCGTCCGTAATGTCGTGAGTATCTCAATGGAAAATAATTGGGTAGAGTTTTCCAAGTCAGCAATGGTATTTGAAAGTCTTATCAACATATCAGCAAGCATAGACTGGTCGAGTGAAGTGAGAGTGCATCGGAAGACCTGAAATGATCGACATGCAAGATGTCGGACAGGACAGGATGTAGCCCAAGTCAACGATAATTTGGCCCACTGCTCTTGTATTCCAGGATATTTCACCTCGAAATCCCTCACTACCTCACTTGTAACGAGCTCCATACCCGGAGGAACTTTGTTCTCTTGGTCGTATACCTTGCCGCTGTTATCGTCGTAATGCCAGATAACTTTGGGATCATGACGGCGAATCGACTCGATGAAATCTTCGATCGAGTTTTTACTTGGGTTAGTACTCTCGTCATCAATTTGAGAAATTACCAGCTCATGTATCAGATGAATCAACATTTCTCGAGCTTGTTCTTGTACTAGTGGTATATAATGATCCCAAAGGACAGTTACCACTTGCAAAAGAAGAGGAACATTGTCTGCCACGAGCTGAACTGGCGATACCATCAAATCGACGAGTAGTATGAGAGATAGTTGACCCAACGACAGTCCAGTTTGTTTATTTCCAATAGGCAACGCCTCCGAGAGTTCTGCCATATACGGCAGCTTTCCAACATCAGGTGGAGGTGGCAAAAACTCGCGTTTCTCATTGGGGACCATAGCTTTCGGCGTGATCTGCATCAACAAAAACTCCACGACTTTACCGCCAGCAGGAGTGCTGGACAAGAACACTACGATTTGCTTTGCATACTCCACAAAATTTTGTTCTCGCCTATCGAGGCACAATGACATGATAAAATCTAGTACTAATTGAACATTCCCAGCGTGAGGACCTGTGGCAAGCGCTTGCCACAAAGCCTGTACTTCATTGTGAAGAGTACTACTGCATCTAATCGTTATCTCAAACAGATTTGCCAATAGAACGTACGATTGCGCAGTTGGCCCGCCATTCGGATCCAGTTGTAGTTCTATTATTTGAATCCATGGCAGAATGGCGGCAACCATATTTCTTTGTGGTCCAGCCTGGAGCTCTTTGAAATACATAGTAAACTCAGAGAAAATTAAAAATGCCAGTTCGGAATGGTTATTTGACAATCGTTTCGAAATTTCGAATTGAGCAAGCTTGTAAACTGCTTTTGTTTTATCCGAAATGCTGATGTCGAAGTCTTGTATTTTAGAACTCCGCTGCTGTCTCTCCTCCAAAGCACGAAGTATACGGGCAGACTTGATGCGGATATCGCCCAATTCACTTCCAAGTGTGTAAATTCCGATACCCAGCAATCTCCAGAAGGGCATTGGATAGTCTGGATGCTCAATTAGTACCTCAGTCACGACTCCAAAGTAGCTCTGGAGTACTTTGGCTGCTTCCGCAAGATAGCACCTCGTGATAGAATGCTCTAGAAGGTAGGGAAATTCTTTGTTGTGTACTATTAAGTTTTTCAAGGCTCGTCGTCCGATAATATGCATCCGATCACTACCAGTGTTGAATATAGTATCTACCCAGGAGAGCATGCGTCGAATGTCGAATTGCAGATTGGCTCCACTTTCTGTTGTTATGCTGACACGACCTCCGCATAATGCAGCCATTGCGCTAAGAGCTGCAGTCCGAAGGTTCCTTTTTTCGATTTCCATGGCAGCCGTTACAACTCCACGTTCACCAAGTGATTGCTGGTTGATCATCGATTGTCTCATATTGTCTTCTCGCTGTCGTATTTGGTTCTGATTTGGGGAATAGCCACACCAGTCCTCCATAAGAGCAAAGGAAGATTTCCTGGACTCGAATGTCATCCACCGAGAAGGGTCTTTGGTGAGATTGATACCCTCGAAGAGCTCTTCCATTAATCCACAGTAGTGACGACGGAGCTTTTGGAACTCCCAATCCAGCTGAACTTCTCCGTCCATTAGGAAAATCTTGAGGTCCTTTGTGTAGATAACAAGGTTGTT